TTTTGAGCTGTGCTGCGAACTTTTGTAGAAGAAGGAACTTTTTTAAGAAACTGTGTAAGCATTGTTAAAAGAACAGATGCAACATGTGCGACAGATAGAGCACTTTTTCGCAGTTTATCGATTACCGATTGATAGGGAGATCTCTTATCACACATGTTTTTTTACGGCTTGTTTCTTGATAATATTTCGCAAACTGGAATAATTCGCGGTGCGCACCAAGGTAGCCGGTGTAGTCATGCGTTTTGTGCAGTTTCGACTAGTGGACGTTTGCTCCTTAAAGATTTTTACTCTTTCACACTTTGATCTCTGAAAAAATACTCGAAATGCGAAATTCCGCACGGAAAATTTCACGTGCCACCACGTGAAACACAAACGTACGTGAAAGCTAAATTTGAAACCTTGAATGGTGAAAATTGTTTCAAAATTTCAACCTCCTAATTCTTTGGCTTCCGAGTAACTTCTCGTCTAAACTTTCAAATGGTCGTACGTCAGACCTTGTCATGCTTGGGAGCAAAGTTTGGCTTTGTTGGGTCCTGCATAAGCACAAAACTAAGTTTGGAAGCTAAGTTTGTTAGACTCCTGAAATTTTCAGCCTCCCACCTCTTCTCGCTCTCGAGAAAGTAATATTTCCCGCCCAAAACTTTCACGATACCGCACCTGGTACCCAGCCGAACGCGAAGGCTGGAACTTAAATTTGCGATGTCGCGCATGTGTAGGGGACATTACCATAAAATTTCATCCCCCTAGCTTTCTTGGTTCTCGAAAATAGTAATTTTCCCTGCTAAAACTTTCACGGGGTCATACGTGATACGGCACAGCTTAAATTTTCCGAATCGTTAGGAGGCAAGGGATGCTTGAACATTTCAGCTTCCTAGCCTTCGTGGTTCTCTAGATAATAAACCCCCCACCGGAACTTTCGCGGAGTAGTAGGTGGTACCCGGAAGGAAGTGAAGGCTGAATTTAATTTTGTTGGATCGCATGGGGGCGGGTTACATTCTACTAAAAATTTTGTGCGACTGTTTTACAGCACAAAACGCAAAAAAGTGATTTGAAAATTTGTGGCAAGCAACTGAACAAATTACATTTCGTGAATGATATTTTTTGATTGCGAGCAATACTGACAAGATGGGCGAGATGATGAAAGGGTCAAGAACGATGGTGATGCAGTGTTGGTGCGCTGAATTACAGCTAGGCGGTCCTGAGACTTCGCGGAAGATGATAGTTATGTGTATTTGGCTTGGAATTAGTTATAATCCACAGTCCATACCCGAGGATTGCACGTTGAAAGGTTGCCGGTTGTTGCAAATTCTGATCTACAAATACGAACTCCGCTCACTGCTAGGCGCTGAAAGGCAGACGCTGCGACGGGGGAAGCAGTGTCCTTACACTACTCTGTTGTTATCTTACGTGAGAGGATGCGTATTCAAATTTACTAAAATTTTTGAAGACAGCGTATTTCGGATGCAGAGATACTGGAAGCTGAGCTGGAAACCATCCGTCGCTATTGCTGAAAAATACTGCTTACTTATTTTGCAGGTATATGGAGCAGTTTCGTTCAAAAACTGATCAGCTGATTGTTTTTGAAAAAAGCGCAACCTATTTTGACAATGCTCCCGTTCCACGAATGGCTGCTGCTTTGCTACCGAAAGCAGATATCGTTGTGTGTAAAATTTTGATTTTTATGCTTTGTGCTGTGTAACAGTAGTACAAAACGCATATTGTCATGGGGCTATCTGTGTGTGTGTGTGTGTGTGTGTGTGTGTGTGT